CAGGTCTTCCCTGGCAGCCCCCTTTACCCTGAGGGTCGCTGGCCTGAGCTCCTTCTTGACGTTGGCAAGCCCAGGCAGCCTGGGCACTTGGAGGTGCCGTCCCGTTTGGAAAGAGTTTGTGTGTTTTCATTGTCAATGGAAAAGGGGCGGAAGTGCTTCGGCCCCGGTTCTGACTGAGCTGTCTCAGCAGTGGGGTAGAACGGGTGGTGTGGGCCAGGGCTGCCGGGCACCGCCCCTGTGAACTGGGCCTCGGCCGATTGGTTTGTGGCTTTGGCAGATGGCACCAACCAGGTTCCGGCCAGGACCCTGGCCTCGGCCTCCTAACTTGCCTGTCTGCCTCCCTCATGTCTCCTCTTTACAATAGCCAGGGGCATATTTGGAAACTGTCCTGTCCACCCATGTGTTATCTGATGTGTGTTGGTCTGTTAAGCCGGCTACAGCAAAGTACCACAGACTTAAACAATGGGAATTTAGTTTCCCACAGTTCTGGAGGCCAGACGTCTAAGATCAAGGTGCTGGCCGGGCTGGTTTCTCCTGGGGCCTCTCTCAGTGGCTGGCAGATGGCGTCTTCTCCCTGTGTCCTCACGTGGTCATCCTCTGCGTGTCTCGGTCCTAATCTCTTCTAGTGAGGACACTGGTCAGCTTGGTTAGGGCCCAACCTCATGGCCTCACATTACCTTAGTCACCTTCGCAAAGGCCCTGTCTCCAAATACATCGCATTTGGAGGTCCTGGACATTAGGGCTCCAATGTGTGAGTTTGGAGAAACCCAGCTCAACCCATAGCTGTGTGTTTGTTCCTGTGTACCGAGCACTGGGCTCTGGGAGTGCAAACCGGAATGAGGTTCTGGCCCTTTTATGGTTACTTTTCTTTTTTTTATTTTTTCGAGATGAAGTTTCACTCTTGTCGCCCAGGCTGGAGTGCAGTGGCATGATCTCGGCTCACTGCAACCTCCACCTCCCGGGTTCAAGTGATTCTCCTGCCTTGGCCTCCCAAGTAGCTGGGATTACAGGCATGCGCCACCATGCCCGACTAATTTTATATTTTTAGCACAGACGGGGTTTCTCCATGTTGGCCAGTCTGGTGTCGAACTTCTCAGGTGATCCACCTGCCTCGGCCTCCCGAAGTGCTAGGATTTCAGGCGTGGGCCACCACGCCCAGCCTATGGTTACTTTTCTGCTTAAAATCTCCTGTGTTCTCCTGCCCCCCAAACGTAGCAGGAGCCATCCAGATCTGGAGGAGCCTCGTCCCCTCCCAAGCAGGGACCCCCCAACCCCCAGGCCCTCTGGGCTGAAGTCAGACCCAACCACTTTCAGAGCCAGCAGTACTGGCATGCCACCAAGAATGGCAGACCTGTGTTTCCCAGGTTGGCGGCTTTTGTGGTGCACGTGAGGGCACTTGGAGAACCCCCCCTCCATTCCTCTCCCCTTTTCCTCCTGTTCTCTTCCAACGTGGAGGTTTCACTAAACCCCATGGTTCTCCCAACTCTAAAGCTTCACCTGAGACTTCATAACTTCTCTTTGGAATCCTTAGAGAAGCACCAGCCTTCTCTAAGGATTGGAAAGTCCTTTTCTCTAAAGGCTGGAAGTCCTTTTAACATTCAGAATGAAGGCGGCCAGTCAGCTCTCCTGGGGCAGCCCACACTGGCTCGGGAGGACATGCCAGAGCACTCATCTAAAGACAGCATTTGTCTCCTGTTTCCTTGCTTTGGCATTTTGTTTTATTTTGTTACGCGCAGGTTGGCCCTCCCTAATCTGATAATCCAAAATCCGAAATGCTTCAAAATCCAAAACTTTTTGAGCACTGCCCTGAAGCCACATGTGGAAAATTCCACACCTGACCTCATGTGATGGGTTGCAGTCAAAATACAGTGAAAAATTATTTTAACATGTTGGATAAAATTACCTTCAGGCTACGGGTATAAGGTGTATCTCAAAGATAAACAAATTTTGTGTTTAGATTGGGTCCTATCCCCAAGAGATCTCATTATGTACATGCAGATGTGCCAAAACCTGAAAAATCCAAAATCTGAAACACTTCTGGACCCAAGCATTTCGGATGAGGGATACTCAACTTGTAATCCTTAAAAAAAGAAAAAAAGGAAAAGAAAATAGACAAGTACAAAGCATAGGCCCAGCACAGAGGCCCTGAAGACACCCTCCTGTGGCCACCATTTCATAGTTCCTGGCAACTCTGCCTGTTCAGCTTACATGAACAGATGTCAGCATCTTGCCATATTTGCTTGAGATTTAAAAAAATAGAAATAAGGGCCAGGCGCAGTGGCCCCTGCCTGTAATCTCAGGACTTTGGGAGGCTGAGATAGGTGATTGCTTGAGCCTAGAAGTTCAAGACCAGCCTGGTCAACATTCACTGGGCAACATGGTGAAACCTCCATCTCTACAAAAAATAAACAAAAAATTAGCCTGGCGTGGTGGTGCATACCTGTAGTCCCAGCTACTCAGGAGGCTGAGGTGGGAGGATCACTTGAGCCCAGGAAGTCCAGGCTGCAGTTAGCCATGATTGCACCACTGTACTCTAGCCTGGGTGACAGAGTGAGACCCTGTCTCAAAAAAAAAAAAAAATTGAAATAAGATATTAAAGGTAAAGATGAAACCTCTCATGTTCTCCTCCCTACTCATCCTCTACTTCAGAGTCAATCCCTACCATGAACTTGCTCTGAATTCAGTCCCGGTTTTATGACACACACATACACACCATATACATACACACACACGTACACATACATGTTTATGTGTATATGTACGTATATGTCCATATATGGGACAAAATAGTTTTATGTTTTTAATTTGCGCAAATAGTAGCACTAGCATAATGTTCTACAACTTGCTTTTTAAAGTCACCACCACACCAAGATTTCTTTGTGCCAATGCTCACACAGCCCCAGCCCTCCCTTTTGCCCACTGTGTAATATTCCACCACGTGCTCCTGCCCCAACCCTAGGCATGCTGTGTTTACCAGTCCCCCTACTGATAACCATCTGAGTGGTGCCCACCAGTGATTTAGACCAGAGCGGGGTGTTCATCTCATGGGTTCACAACAGAGTTGCATCAGCAGTTTATGCTTCGTGCCTTTGGGGTCCCTGCTCCTCCCGTGGCTCAAGTGTGGAGCAAAACAAGCGGAGCATCGTCGTGACACCAGAGGGACGTCCATGACGCCGATGACCGCACTCGCCACCTCAGCCAGCGTCAGAGTTTTCTGGCGTCTCTTCTTTGAGGCTGGCCGCCTACAGCTGGAAATGCTCATATATGGTGGTGTGACTAACCTGAGAGGGAGAGATCAGGGATCCTGAGAAGCTCTGCATTCTTGGTCTGCTTCCCAGCAGGACGAGTGAGCGCGCAGAGGTCCTCCCTGCACGGCCCCAGGCTGGGCTTCGGAGGAGGGCAACCCGTCTGGCCTGCTGCAGAGCAAGCCAAGCCCCTCCTCTCCACATGGCGTTATTCTTGTCTGAGGCGCAGGCTCAGTCAGGACCCTGGAGAGTTTCCAGGGGTCAGGAATGGGAACCTCAGCGTTCCCATAGCTCTTTGGCGCAGCCTCTGTCGTCTGGTGCCAATGTTTCTGCTTCCTGGGATGCCCATCTTGGCCTCCATCCATCCCCTCTGTGCCTTGATCTACATCTCCCCCCGCCCCACCCGAGGATGCCCACCTTGCACTGCCACTGTCCCAGCCAACTTGATCGGTAAACACCAGGTTAGTGCTATGGGGGTGAAGACCAGGGAGGACTCATGTGAAGAACTGAGCCCCATGGAGTTCCCATAGGTCAGCTTGAGGCACGGCCACCACCCAACCCTCCAGACAGAGCTGCTTCCTCTGGCCCCTGAGGGCCTGGCACTGTCTTTAGAGTCAGCCTTGTCCTGCCATGTGGGGACTGTGGGTTTCCTCCTCCATCTCTCCTACCTAACTGTGAGCTCCTTGAGGCCAGGGACAGAGTCCTCTTCGTCTTCACATCCCCAGTCTCCATCTCAGAGTCCAGCACAAAATAAGGCACTCGATGGAGGTGACTGGGTGGCCCAGACTCTCCCCTGGGAGGAAAGCAGAGAGGAGGGTTGTGCGTGGACGCACTTGTTCAAGCCCTTCCTTGTCTTCTTGGGCCAGTAACATACATTCTTCAGATGAAGCCAGGAGGTGGAGGTCTGCAGTTCGTGACCCTATAATGGAGGGGAGGTAGTTGGCCCCCAGAGACAGAGGTGCCAAGGTAGCTTGCTGGAAAATTCTGGGTCTTTGTAATCATTATTTCCGACCTCAGCGTCTCTGCTTACCAGGAGGCTGGCCTTGGGCTTGTCTTGTTGCCACACTAAGCCACAGCTTTCTTATCTGTAAAATGGGGATGAGAACGGCCTGACCTCCTGGGTTGTCATGGTGACTGGGAATAACATAAACGACCGGCCTGCGTAGGTGCTTATGAAGGGTTTTCTGAGGGAACAAAAGGCGGAGGCCTTGGTTGGACTTCGTTCTGGGCAGCTGTGTCTTAGTGTGGGACAGATGTGCGGGTGGGGCCCGGGGCGAGGGCCGTGATAAGAGAAGCCATATGTCAACCACTTTTGGTAAACTGAGTTTGACTTCGCAGGGACTAGAAGTTTGCTCTCAATGTTGGTTCACGGAGCATGACTTTAGCAATCCCCTTGGGGCAGGAGATAGAAGCTAATTTGTGCCAGAGATTCACCTGAATCCTGAATGAATAAGAGATGCTGACTCCTAGTTAGAAAATGCAGGGACTTGCTCCAGGAAAACTTGAGTCCAGGAGGAACTGTTCTAGGTTATCCTCTTTGGAATCCCGACAGCTCACCTCGCCGGGAACCCTTGGCGTAAATCCCAGCTCCACCACTTCCTGTCTGTGGCACCTTGCTTGTTTAGCTTCTGTGGGCCTCAGTTTCCACATCTGTAAAATGGAGAGAGTCATGTGTGCTGCGTTCGCTGCTCGAGCCAGCGCTGTGACCGGCTCCTACTAATGCAGCTTCTCCCACCGCCCTCTGCTTCCTTTCAGAGCTCGAGTGCCCAGCTCTGTCCCAGGAGCCCAGGCTGTCCTGTGAGTCCCATAGTTGCTGCAGGAGTGGAGTCATGAGCTGTGTCCTGGGCAGTGTCATCCCCTTGGGGCTGCTGTTCCTGGTCTGCGGATCCCAAGGCTACCTCCTGCCCAACGTCACTCTCTTAGAGGAGCTGCTCAGCAAATACCAGCACAACGACTCTCACTCCCGGGTCCGCAGAGCCATCCCCAGGGAGGACAAGGAGGAGATCCTCATGCTGCACAACAAGCTTCGGGGCCAGGTGCAGCCTCAGGCCTCCAACATGGAGTACATGGTGAGCGCCGGCTCCGGCCACAGGGGCTGGCACTGGGGGTGGGGCCCAGGCCACCAGCCTGCTCTGTGCCCCAGCCGGTGCGTGTGGTGGCTGGCTCAGGGTCTCCTCTGGCAGGGGAGGACCCCGGCTCTGTTCTGTTTGTTTGTTTTGAGACAAACTCTCTCTCCCAAAGTGCTGGGATTACAGGCGTGAGCCACCGTGCCCGGCCTGTTTGTTTGTTTTTGAGACAGAGTCTTGCCCTGTTGCCCAGACTGGAGTGCAATGGTGCCATCTCAGCTCACTGCAACCTCTGGCTCCTGGGTTCAAGTGATTCGCCTGACTCAGCCTCCTGAGTAGCTGGGATTACAGGCATGCACCACCATGCCAGGCTAATTTTTTTTATTTTTATTAGAGATAGGGTTTCACCATGTTGGCCGGGCTGGTCACAAACTCCTGATCTCAAGTGATCCACCCTCTTCAGCTTCCCAAAGTGCTAGGATTACAGGCGTGAGCCACCATGCCCGGCCTCTACATATTTATTGAATGTGTGGGTAGGAGGCAGGCTGGCCTCCCGGCTCTGCTTCTCTGCCTTCCACACAGCTGGGATTTAATCAACTGGTGAATTCTATGTATTTTTGAGTGTCTCACGTGAGTCCAGTACCCTGTGAGATTCTTGTTATAAAGAGGTGGACAAAGCAGATAAGGTCCCCGTCCATACCGCATCTCTGGACTCATGTAGCCAGGAAGGATTTGTGGAGCACCTTCGATGTGCCTGGCACTGTCCTGGATTCCGGGAGGAGGCATAATTATGAGTTATGCAGAGTTAGAAGAAGAAATATGGGAGCTGCAAGAAAGAACATTACAGGTGGGAGAAACCTGACTGAGATGGAGGTGTCGGGGTGCCCACTCTGCGGAGAAGCCATCTCAGTTAAGACCTGAAGAGTGAGCATGGTTGAGTGAGCAAGCGTGCAGGGAAGGGTGTTCTGGGCAGAAGGAACAGAAGGTGTGAAACCACCACCACCTCGTGAATCTCTTTCCTTAATGGGAGAAAAGCTTCGGGTCTCAGAGGAGCTCTCAAAAAGCCAGTGGGACCACGGCTCATTTCTGAGGGAGTGAGGCCATTGCAAGAGGTCAGAGAGGCAGGCAGGGGCAAAGCACACAGGGCTTTGAGGCTAGCTGAGGAGCCTGCCTTTTTTCTATGAGGAATATGGTTTTGTTATTGCTGAAATGGGGGTGAAAAGAAAAAAAAAGAAAAAGGGTTTATTTGCAGGCGAGGATACTTTTATGACTGTGAAGCACTTTTTTTTTTTTTTTTTTTGAGATGTAGTTTCACTCTTTCGTCCAGGCTGGAGTGAAGTGGCGTGATCTCGGCTCACTGCAACCCCGACCCCTGGGTTCAAGCAATTCTCCTGTCTTGGCCTCCCAAGTAGCTGGGATTATAAGTGCCTACCCCCACGACCAGCTAATTTTTGTATTTTTAGTAGAGACGAGGTTTGCCACGTTAGCCAGGCTGGTCTCAAATTCCTGACCTCAGCTGATCCACCCACCTCGGCCTCCCAAAGTGCTGGGATTACAGGTGTGAGCCACTGTGCCCCGCCGTGAAACACTTTTGCTGCTGTGCATGTTGGGGATTGGAGGGCCCAGCAGGAAGCAGGGAGGCTGCTGGGAGGTGGCTCAGTCAGCAGGTGACGGGCAGGTGAGGAGGGAAGGGGTGGGATTTGGGCGGGAGGCGGGAAGTGAAGAACAAAGAGCCGTTCTGAGACCTAGGAGGCGTTGCCCATGGGTCAGGGCTACACTGGCTTTCTGGCTGGGCTTTCTGTCTTTCTCCAAGCTCTGGATGCACTGCACTGTGAGAAAGGCTCCTGGAGGCAGCCACTCTGCCCGGGGGCTGTTTCTGAAGGGGCAGAGCAGAGGCAGGAAGCCCTGCAAGGCTTCCCTCGGAGTCACTGGCTTTCCCTGGTGCCTGCTTTAGCCTGAACACGCTCCCCTCCTCTTCTAAGTTTCTCTTTCTTTCTTTCTTTCTTTCTTTCTTTCTTTCTTTCTTTCTTTCTTTCTTTCTTTCTTTCTTTCTTTCTCTCTCTCTCTCTCTCTATTTTTCTTTCTTTCTCTCTCTTTTTTCTTTCTTTCTCTCTCTTTTTTCTTTCTCTCTCTCTCTCTTTCTTTCATCTTTCTTTTTTCTTTTTGATTTTTTTGAGACAGAGTCTAGCTCTGTCGCCCAGGCGGGAGTGCAGTGGCGTGATCTCAGCTCACTGCAACCTCCACTTTCCGGTTCAAGTGACTCTCCTGCCTCAGCCTCCTGAGTAACTGGACTATAGGTGCACACCACCACACCCGGCTAATTTCTGTATTTTTAGTAGAGGTGGGGTTTCACCACGTTAGCCAGGCTGGTCTCGAATTCCTGACCTCAGGTGATCCACCCACCTCAGCCTCCCAGAGTGCTGGGATTACAGGCGTGAGCCACCGCGCCCGGCCTAAGTTTTTCTTTTTCACCCTCAATCTCTAAGATCAGAGGGGGCTTGCTGGAACATGCTGTTGGGAGAGTTGCTTTATGAGAAATGAAAGGAAAGGGGCCCCAGGAACGTTGAGACCCACCGAATGTCCCATCCGCGCATCCCTGGTGGCTTGGCCTTCGTCCTCATGGGACCGAGGAGGCCCCACGTCTCTCTGGAGAGGTTGGGGCATGTGGGACTGGAGCTTGACTGAGCTCCAGGATCCCAGATGCTTCCCGCCTCCCAGTCTGCAGCAGGCCGGGTTCTTGTGGATGTTCTTCTCCCTGCACCGTGTGGTCCTCCCAGTTTCATGCAAGACTTAGCGCCGGTGAAAGGAGCTTCTTTGCAGCAGGGAAAGTCAGGCCGCCCGGGCAGCCCATAGCAGGCCTTTCATGTTTTCCTATTTGTTTACTTGGTGCTGTTTCAGGATTGGAGCTGAGATCGGGGTCCTTTGGTCTAAAAGGCCAGCCTGCTGGGGAGGCTGAGCCTTTGTGGATGCTACTGAGGCCACCTCGGAGCAGGGAGGCTGGAAGAGAGGGAAGGCAGGGCCCCTGCCACTCAGTCCAGCGCCCTCAGCACTGCACTGCGTTGCCCCTCGGCTCTGGTTCACACCCAAACAAGCAACGCAGATTTGAGAATTCGTCTTGGAAACGTGGCTTCCTGTTCAACCCTGCCTGCTGTGGCTTCAAGCCACAGTCCTTTGAAATAGGCTTAGCACTGAAAGGTGGATTCTGGAATCTCAAAGAGTCGAGCAGCCCGTTCTGAGGTTTTATGAGTGGACAGGCTCTGGAGCCAGCCTGCCTGCCTCCAGCCAGCTCTGTCACTGGCCAGCTTTGTGACTTCGGGCAGATTGCTTAGCCTTTCTGTTTATGTTTCCTCACCTACACAATGGGAACAAGAAACCCTTTCTCGTAGGGTTGTTTGACGGAGGCGAAGAGATAAGGCATGACCCGTTCTAAGTAAATATGAATGATGCTGTTATCATTTAGTATATTGCATAGTCAGCATATTGCAGTAGCATAATTTAGCAACTTCTTATTTTAGTGAGATGGGTCTGGCACTTGGTTACAGTATGCAAGGCAGGAAGAGTCACCTTTGTAGCCAGACGAGAGGGGGTTGCGAGAGGCTTCCTGGCTGTGTGACCTCAGGCAGGTTACTTAACCTCTCCAAGACTCAAGGTTTGTTGCCCCTTGGCCGCCGAGGAGTCTTGGTGGGACACGGGGAGAGAGGGAAGCGAGGCATGCGGTTGTGTTGGGCAGGTACTCCCTGCTGGGGGGTCCCAGGACTAAGACAGGACTGTCTTCCATGAGCGTCTGCTGTGTGCCCGGGGCTGGGTGTGCGGAGGGCAGGGAGGCCAGCCTCTGCCTGCTTAGAGCTGGAGCACCTGTCGGGAGGACTCCAGGGAGGAAGGGCAGCGTCAACTGCCAGCTGTGAGCGGGGGCTGCCTGGCGTCTGTTCCTCCACAGAGGAGAAAGGACACGCTTGCTCTGCTCATGGGGTTCTCTCCCCAGGAGTCGTGTGTGTTCCTGGGGCCAGCTGTGGCAGGCGAAGCTGCAGAGCCTGTCTTCAGAGTCTCTGCCCAGACCGCTGCTCAGGCCCCACTGATTCAGGCTGGGCCGTGCTGGGAGGTGAGCAGGGCTGGGCAAGCCAAAGACGTCTCTTGTCAATTTCTTTTCATTGTGGTAAAATATACGGACTATAAAAGTGACCATTTTAACCATTTTTAAGTGTGCAGTTCTGTGGCACTAGGTACATTCACACTGTGGTGCAACCATCCCCACCATCCACCTCTGGCACTTTCTTTTCTTTTCTTTCTTTCTTTTTTTGAGACAGTCTTATTTTGTCCACGCCTGGTTAATTTTTGTATTTTTAGTAGAGACGGGGTTTCACCATGTTGGCCAGGCTGGTCTCCAACTCCTGACCTCAAGTGATCCGCCTGCCTCTGCCTCCCAAAGAGCTGGGATTACAGGCGTGAGCCACTGAGCCGGGCCCATCTCCGGCACTTTCTATCTTCCGACTGAAATGCGGCACCCATTCATCTTAGGGCCCTTCTTGCTGTGTTGCCCCGCGGGTAGCCAGTGAGAATCTAAAATCCCCTGCAGGGGCCCTTGGCTGCTTTTCCTTGCAGGCCTGAGTGTGGCTGATGTGGATAAATCCTCCCTGACTGCAGGCAGGCCCTGGGCTGGGCACCTCGTGGGCTTCCCCTCCCCATTACTGCCAACAGTGAGGGCTGTGGACATGCCCACATTACCGATGAGGACACTGAGGCTCAGACGGGATAACTGCATGCCTAGGCTCACACCGCCATTCCAGGACCAGCATTGAGAACACCGATCCAATGCCACACGAATAACTTATTTCTAGCCCCTGGCCTAGGAATAGCATCCGATTATTACCTGCTGCGGCCCACACATAACTGCGTACGTGGAGACAGCTCAGGCTCCAACGTCCTGAAGACCCGGGTTCAAATCCTGGTTCTGCGACTGGCCGACTGTGGGACCCAGGGAAAATGGCATTGCTTCTTCAGGCCTTGATTTGCTTGCCTGTGAAGTGGAGATAAGAAGGGTCTACTTCAGAGGCCCCTTGTTAGAATGCAATGAAAAGATTGGGGTAAAGCCTGAGGCCTGGTGTGCTTGGAACATGCGTAAGGAGAGGAAACCGGGGTCATTGGGACAGGTTCCAGGCCAAGACCATCCCTAGAGATGGCTGCTGACCTTCGCTTTTCTTCCACACAGCAGCAGAGCATTGGCTGTAGGCTCCGCGGGAGCCCAGGCTGGGGCATTGCTGCATTTATGGTTCTTACGCCCCTGCCTCACCCTCACCTCCTGGTGCCTGTTTCTCCTCCTGCTGCAGACCTGGGATGACGAGCTGGAGAAGTCTGCGGCAGCATGGGCCAGTCAGTGCATCTGGGAGCACGGGCCCACCAGTCTGCTGGTGTCCATCGGGCAGAACCTGGCCGCCCACTGGGGCAGGTAAGAGCCACCAGCTTCTCTCCAGCTGCTGCGGGCCCCCATTGCTGTGTGCCGGGCTCAGCACTTGCCCATTATCAAGTTTAGCCTGCAAAGAGAGTGAAAGAGACCACCAGTTCCATCCATATTCTGGGTAACTGAGGCTCGGCACCCAGGAACACTCCTGAGTAACTGACAAAATGTATTCAAGCTTGGTTGGCTGACCCCAGACACTGTTGATTGATTAAAGTTTGTAGTTTGGGCTTTCTTTCTTTCTCTATTTCTTTTTTTTCTTCTCTTTTTTTTTTTTTTTTTTTTTTTGAGATAGGGTCTTATTCTGTCATTCAGGATGGAGTGCAGTGGCGCAATCTCGGCTCACTGCAACCTCCACCTCGTGGGTTTAAGTGATTCTCGAGCCTCAGCCTCCCGAGTAGCTGGGACTATAGGCATGTGCCACCATGCCTGGCTAATTTTTGTATTTTTTGGTAGAGACGGGGTTTCACCAGGTTGGCCAGGGTGGTCTCGCACTCCTGGTCTCAAGTGATCCACCCACCGCGGCTTCCTCAAGTGCTGCGATTACAGGCACGAGCCACCCCACCCAGCCTGTAGATGGGGTTCCCATTCCATCTCCTGTGCAGGGTTCCTGAGTCCCCGTTCCTGTGGGGTGAACAGCTCTGTTCGCGGTGGGTCATTTCTATCTGGTTCTGCTCACTGTTTAAGGCTGAGCCAGGTTCCACCCTGCTGGGAACATGCCCATTGTCTTCCCCGCGTCATCCGGGCGTCGGGAAGCTCACTAACTTCTCCAGACCCCCGGGGCTTCCCTGTCTGGCAGTGGTCTGTCCCCTCTCCTTCCCTGTCTGGGAGTGGTTTGTCACCTCTCCCGTAGGAGGCATTGATGGTTGTCTGTTAAATGCAGCTGACTGGCCTTCCCCAGAGTAACCTGGACCATGTATCCATGCTCCCAAAGAGGCCAGAAGTCCCCTCCTGGGGGCTGAGGGCTGGTTTCATTGGAGAAAGTGGGAAAATGTCTTTTGACCACGCCCAGGATAACAACTAATGACCACATAAGACTTAACGACCAACCTGTGACCGTGCCACGCCCAAGGCCGGAGTGCACGTCCTCAGACCCATCCAGGACCTAGATTGACTTCCATTTTGCCCTAATTATTGAAAAGTTGGACTGGGCTTTAGACAGCCTCTTAAAATGTAGGTGAGGGTTTGCTTTCACTTCCCATTCTTTTGAATGGAGAGGGATTTCCTAGCCTGGGTTTCATCAGGCCACGGGCAGCCACACCTTCCTCTGCATCTGTGGTTTTTCAGGATGAACCTGGGCAGGTGTCATGGTGGATCAACAGCTGTGACTTCACAGAGGCAAATCCACACCATGGTTTTTTCTTTGGTGAAGTTAGCTTTTTATAAAAACTGTCTTACAGGCCGGGCATGGTGGCTTAAGCCTGTAATCCCAGCACTTTGGGAGGCCGAGGTGGGCGGAATACAAAGTCAGGAGTTCAAGACTATCCTGGCCAACATAGTGAAACCCCATTTCTACTAAAAATACAAAAAAATTAGCTGGGCATGGTGGCGGGCGCCTGTAATCCCAGCGACTCGGGAGGCTGAGGCAGGAGAATTGGTTGAACCCCGGAGGCGGAGGCTGCAGTGAGCCGGGATTGTGCCTGGGAGATAGTACAAGACTTCGTCTTGGAAAAAAAAAAAAATCCTACAATAACATGAAAGGCAAGTGTCTAGAGCAGGGAGATCTGTAATTCCACTAGCCTGATTCGGCTCTTTTCATTTTTCTGGGCTCCTTTGTAGCACTTGGCTGGGTGCCGACATAGTTTTACAGCCTTGCGACTATAGCCTGGATCACTTTGAAATCTTTTTTTCTTTTCCTTTCCATACAATATCGGGAAATTTTCAGTGACACAGTTGTCATGAGTGTCACCCTGCAAATGCCCCAGTGGTCCCTCTGTGGACAGACCAAAGTTGACCCGTTGGCTCTTGCAGATTCATTTTTTTTGTTTGTTTTTCGCTTTGTCTCACTTGAATGATTTCTTTAGGATTACTCCTGAGAAGTAAGATTGCTCGGCCAAAGGGCACAGAGAGTTCCCCACTTCTTAAGGAATTTTGCTAACTTGCTTTGCAAAACAGCCCCTGACTCTGCACAGCGCCCCAGGGCAGCCACGCGTTCCTTTCCCCACAGCTGTGCCAGTGCCAGTGCCAGCCTTGAGTCTGCGTGACCCTGAGCCTGCTGGGAAGCGGATGAGTGGCCAGAAGCCCTCTGCTCCTGCCTCCTCACTGTGTGCACGCATCTCTGCAGATGCCGCTGACCACTGCTGTGCGTTCTGCTTCCAGACAGTAATTGTTACAAGACCTCTAACTGCCTCGCTGACCACATTGCCCTTAAAAATGGTCATTTCCCCCGTGAGCGTTTTCTCTTCATCGAAACCACTTTGTTTATACTTGCTGGTGACAGTGTGACTGTGGACTTGCCTCCAGTTTGGTTTTTTCCCTAGTTAAAAAAAAAAGGTGCCAACCTTGGCAGCTGAGTCTGAAGCAAGGGGGTGGTGGGCATGAAGCGATGACCCCACAGAGGATGTCCAGGGACCGGTGCAGCTGGTGGCTGTGGATTACAGGTGGGCACCACCACGCCTGGCTAATTTTTGTATCTTTAGTAGAGACGAGGTTTCACCATGTCGGCCAGGCTGGTCTCCAACTCCTGACCTCCGGTGATCCACCCGCCCCGGCCTCCCAGAGTGCTGGGATTACAGGCGTGAACTACCATGTTCGGCCTTAACTGCACTCACGTCTTCATCAGGTTTTATCTTAGACAATAACGTCTGTGAAACATGGGCTTCATGGACTGGGTATTTTTTCTCCAATGTGCCTGAAAATAAACACCTAATTGACGTAAAAAAATTGAGAGCCAGGTTAAGATTTTTCTGCATGTGAGCCGCCCAAAGAGCCTACTAGAGGCCCCAGGTGAGCTCCTCAATGACAGTGGTTTTAATCACCGGTACCAGGTGCTCCTGGAATTGGGGGCTATCCCCCTCCTCGGCCTCCCTCCCCCCCCACCTGCCCCTGGCTGCTGCTGTTTCCGCTGGCGGGTGGGGTGAGGGGCCGGGACTGAGTGAGCTGCTTCTGCCCTGCAGGTATCGCTCTCCCGGGTTCCACGTGCAGTCCTGGTATGACGAGGTGAAGGACTACACCTACCCCTACCCGAGCGAGTGCAATCCCTGGTGTCCGGAGAGGTGCTCGGGGGCCATGTGCACGCACTACACACAGGTAACTCGGGAACTGGCCACCCCCTCAGCCCTGCACCCCAATCCCAGTCATTCACTCCCCTGCCTCTGGGGGATTGGTGCCAAATCTGTTAAACCTCTGTGCTGTTATTGCCTTAATTTTTAAAAATTCAGTTCTATGCAAAGTACAGCTGGTAGAATACGCTGTTTGTTACCAGCAAGGCCAGAAACTGAGTGAGCACTACAAACTCTTTTTTTTTTTAATTTGAGACAGTGTCTCCCTGCTACCAGGGCTGGAGTGCAGTGGCATGATCTTAGCTCAGTGCAGCGCCCAAACTCCTGGGCTCAAGCAATCCTCTCACCTCAGCCTCCTGAGTACGGAACTACAGGTGTACACTACCAGGCCTGGCTAATTTTTGTATTTTTTTTTTTTTTTTTAAGAGATGGGTCTGGTTATGTTGTCCAGGCTGGTCTCAAATTCCCGGGCTCATGTGATCCTCCCCGCTCAGCTTCCCAGTGTGTTGGGATTAGAGGTGTGAGCTACTGCACCCAACCGAGAAATCTATGGCAATTTGATATTGCAGGGCATTTTCATTGTGTGGGAGTTTGTTTGCTTGCTTTTTCTTTTGAAATGGAGTCTCCCTCTGTCACCCAGGCTGGAGTGCAGTGGCATGATCTTGGCTCACTGCAATCTCTGCCCCCTAGGTTCAAGCAATTCTCCTGCCTCAGCCTCCTGAGTAGCTGGGACTACAAGCGCACGCTACCACGCCTGGCTACTTTTTGTATTTTTAGTAGAGACAGGGTTTCACCATGTTGGTCAGTCTGGTCTCGAACTCCTGACCTCGTGATCTGCCCGCCTCAGCCTCCCAAAGTGCTGAGATGACAGGCATGAGCCACTGCGCCCGGCCCACTTGCTTGCTTTTTAATGAAATGCATGTATCTTCAATGGGTTGGGGACTAATATCTGCTTCCCCAACCCTTCACCCTTTAGTGCCAGCACCTTATACATCCAGGCCAGAGTGTATCACCCTTTTGTGCCTTGTCCCTCGAGCTGTGACACACAGATGTCATCTTTTCAGATAGTTTGGGCCACCACCAACAAGGTCGGCTGTGCTGTGAACACCTGCCGGAGGATGACCGTCTGGGGAGAAGTCTGGGAGAACGCGGTCTACTTTGTCTGCAATTATTCTCCAAAGTAAGACGAGTTGATGCGGTTGTATGGGGTAGGGGTTGGGATGTGTTTGCTTGCCGTGGAGCACCCAGTGAAAACTGGCTTGAGCAGCGAAGTCTTCATTATCTCACATAACAAGGAATCTAGAGTTTGGTGCATCTGGGTTTGCTTAAAAACTCAGCAATGTCAACAAGGACCCGGGTCCTTTCCGTCTTCCTGCCGTACCATTCTCTCCTCAGGGTCCCGAAATGGCCACAGAGCACCCACATCACATCTCCCCAAGCAGAAGGAAAGATGGTCAAAGGGCCAAAGGGCTCTCTCGTTAGGTCTTTCGCACACTGGCACGCTCTCTCCTTATGTTCTTGGCCAGAATTAGACCAATCATAGATGAGGGGGAACAAGATTGCCCCAACTGGCTTTGCAAGACGTCCTCTGAGACCGACTGAACAAAGTCAGAGCGGGAATAGCTGCTGGCTGGGCAGCCAGCATGGTCTGCCCTGGCAATATGATTATTTTTCTCTGAAAATGTGCAGTAGACAGCACCCTAGAAAACACATGTTCATACAAAGCCTAGCTTCTCTGTTTCCCTCCGAAGAGGGTCCTCATGCGGCCTCCCGATCATGGTGCCTCCTCCGCCTATAGCATGCTCAGATTGTCCGTGTGGTGTCCAGCCCTTGACTCATTTGCTCATGGGACAAATATGTGCTGATTCTTGGAGAGCCGCTCCCCCAGTTCACGGCCTGAGGTTTGCATGCTGGCCGCTGGCCACTGCTGTGCTCGCCCTGTGCCCTGTGTAGCATGGCCCCGGGGCATGTTTGCTCAGTGACTGAATGAAACGGCAATGACCTCATGTATTTGTCTTGGGTCAGGAGTGGTTATGAAAAGGTGGGATGAAGGGGGAATCGCTGAGGTTGGGAGGAAAAATAGAAGCTCTCCCAAAACCATCTGGCGTGCCTGCGGTGGCGTGGCTCAGCAGCCCACATGGATAAGCGCAGCGGGTGTGTCATTGCCTGGGAGGGACGCAGGCCCCATGCAAGGGCAGCAGACTGGTCCAAGGTGGTGGAATTCCCGGCCCAGTGGTAGTTGGGGAATGAGGAATCATTTGACTTGATTCTATATAAAAAAAATAGACATTAGAAGGTCCTATCAGAAATGAAATTCTTTCCTTCTGTAGCAACCCCTTGCTTCCTTAAAAAAAGGAATAACCCATGTATGGTAAAATCTACTCATCTTAAGTATACAGCGTGACACAGTTTCACATGCATTAGTCTGTTGGGGCTGCAACAACAGATGCCACAGCCTGGGCAGCTTACATATCAGACTTTTATCTCTCACCATTCTGGAGGCTGGAAGTCCCCTGGATCAAGGTGTGGCAGATCAAGATGTGGCAGCATCGGGCTCCAGCGGGGGCTCTCTTCCTGGCTCACCAACGGCCGCCTTCTTACATGGTGGTGAGAGATGAGGACACCAATCCTATTGGATCAGGACTTCACCTGTTGACCTTATTTAACCTTAATTAGTTTCATCAAGGCCCTATCTCCACGTACAGTCACGTTGGGGGTGAGGGCTTCAACACTGGGATTTGCGGAGACACATACTGAAAGTCTATGGCAATAGCCCTCTACCCATGTAACTACCATCCAGATGGAGATGGACGGTATCTCCCGTGCCGCAGAGGCTCTCTCGTGCCCTGCGAAGTGACCACCATTCTAGCATCTTTCCCATCAGTCTGTGGTGTCTGGTTTGGGACCTCACATGAGGGGGGCTACACAGCACACTCCCAAATGGTGCCCCCAAATGGTATTTTGCTCAACATCACATTGGTGAGGTCTCCCCATGGTGTTGTGTGTTCACTGGTTCTTTCCTTTTGTCTGCTGCGTATTACTGCGTGCTGTCCATGGCCTCTTTCTTAGAGAGAGGGCTTGAGCCCCTGGGCTATGCAGGACACTGTCCCAGGCACCAGGGTGGGAAGGGTGGCTGGGAGGGTGGGTTTGGGTGTGGTGGGAGGTCAGATCCCTTAAGGGGGATTCCCAGCCCGACAGGAGATGAGGTAGGTGTGTACATAGAGGGACTTGCACGTGAGGGAAGGTACTTCACAGTGCTATTCAAAACTTAAGGAGACTGGCCAGTGCGGTGGCTCATGCCTGTAATCCCAGCCTCCTTTGGCCAAGGCAGGAGAATCGCTTGAGTCTAAGAGTTCAAGACCAGTCTTGACAACTGGTAAAACCCCATCTCTACAAAAAATACAAAAAGTTAGCTGGGCGTGGTAGTGCATGCCTGTATTCCCAGTTGCTTGTGAGGCTGAGGTGGGAGGATTGCTTGAGCCCAGGAGGTTGAGGCTGCAGTGAGCTGTGGTCATACCACTGCCCTCCAGCCTGGGTGACAGAGCAAGACCCTGTCTCAAAAATTAAGGAGATTGTTCATCTGCAGGACCTGATGCCCAGCCGGCCTTCCATCAATGCCAACCCTGAGTATTAGGGTTGAGCTGGGAGCGTCGGTGGTGTGGTTTGTCTCAGGAAATAGAGAACCCCAGACACAAGGGAAAATGGCACGGGCAATGGGACGTAGCCATGACAGGACCACAGTCATCTGAGAAACCTACTGGGCTTCACCCAGAGACAGGATGGGCTCTGGGCCCTCTCGGTCCCTTGGTGCTGTTCCTTTTGGGGGAGTCATCCCAAAGGCTCCTGGGGATCTGAGCAGAGGGTATCTGAGTGGGGATGTCTTGTGGCATGGCACAGACACGGTCATTCTGCCTCTAGAATGTGAGGGGGTGGGAGAGGCTGTGTGCGGGTCATAACCCCAGGCGGTGCCCAGCCCTGTCCTTCCTGCACTGCACGGCCCACTGCCCCTCCCCTGCCCACAGTCCCCTTGGGGAGGCCAGGGTGCTTCTGGGGCCGCGGGAGGTTCTAGACCACTCTGGTAAGGACAGATGCCTGTCAAACCCAGAGCGTGCTTCCTGCCATTTGTCTTCGGCCAGCACTGGCAGGGCCCCTCCCCTTCTTCCCTGGAAAGCGTCAGAGCATTCCCCACACAAGCTTGTGGATTTCCCCAACTCTGAGAGCACAGCCTTGCCCATGAGTCAGGCGCGGGTCCGAGGGCTTCCCCACGGTCACTCCCTCAGTCTCACAGCAGGGCAGCAGCCCTGCTGCTATGACCCCATTTTACAGAAAGGGAGACCAAGGCTGGGGCTGGAGGAGGCTGGCTGAGGATACACGCTGGCAGCCTGGGGCCCAACTAGGGAAGCCTGCTCTTCACAGCCCAGGAGCTGCAGGAAGGGGCTTGGGATTCCACTCACCACCGCTACCTGGCCCCTGGAGAAAGCCTTTGGTGCAGCCTCCAGTTTTCCTGCCTCTGGGAACTCCAGAGGGAGGCAGAGGGCAACTGTGACCCAAGAGGGACCTTTGACCCAGCCCCTAGAATAGAGTGTGCCTAACTAAGGCTCTGAGCCTGACAGCCTGGGTTCAAATCCCAGCCCCGCCACTTACTTGCTCTGTGACCTGGGGCAAGTCACTTAACCTCACTGTGCCTCAGTTTCCTCTTCTGCAAAAGTATTGAATTCCAGCTCTTCCCTCCTAGGGTGTTGGGGAGATGGGGTGAGGAGCACAGTGAAGGCATAGACCAGGGATGGCATGTGGTAAAAACTGGGAAACACAAGCCATCTCCAGAACAGGCTGGCTTTACACATTTGAGAAACGGCTTAAAAGGGAGTCCTGACAGCTTTTCAGTGCTAAGGTGTTAGGATCCAGGGGCCCTGACAGTGTTCAGAGCCGTGTTGGTGGAAGGGGGCCACGGGGCTGACAGCCAGCCAAGGCAAAGGTACTGGGTGGAAGAGCATCTTGCACCTCCCTTCTGCAGGATCGCTGGGATTCTGGAGCTCTCTAGACTCTGTGTGCATGGGAGGGCCTGGGACAGTCACATTTCCCGCTTCCCACAGCACACTCCTATCCCCCGACCTGTCAGTGATGGTGTTCAGGGACTCAGGTGGGCCTTGGAAGAGGATCAGTCCCAAGGCCTCACATGGTAGTTCCCTCTGATGGTTGTTTTTGGTCTGTCCTCAGGGGGAACTGGATTGGAGAAGCCCCCTACAAGAATGGCCGGCCCTGCTCTGAGTGCCCACCCAGCTATGGAGGCGGCTGCAGGAACAACCTGTGTTACCGAGGTAGGAAATTCACTCCCAACACTTTTGCAATGAATTTTCCCTCAGTCTGAGTCATGCGACAGCATTACATAAAATGGGGGAATTAAAGACGTCAGAGTCACCCCACCCAGCCCTATTGAAGACGCTCTCAGCACGTTCCTCCCGCCTCCATGATGAGCTGAGCCTCATCTCCAGGGTCTGGGCTCAGCTTCCAGGCCCCTGGAGAGCCCCACTGCCCCGAGACGTGACTTCCCATGGGCATCCAGGCTCTGCGGATGCTGGACACAGCATTAAATACAGACGTACTGCTCACCCTCATTAGTGTTCACAGTTTCATATGAAATAGGCCAGGGGCCGGGCACGGTGGCTCACACCTGTAACCCCAGCACTTTGGGAGGCTGAGGCAGGAGGACCATATGAGGCCATGTATTAGGGTTCTCTAGAGGGACAGAACTAATAGGATATATAAAAAAATATATATATATATGATTTATTAAGGAGTGTTAAACTCACATGATCACAAGATCCCACAATAGACCATCTGCAAGCTGAGGAACAAGGAAGCCAGTCCGAGTCTGGAAGTGGAACAACTTCAAGCCCAATGTTTGAGGGCAGGAAGCATCCGGCACGAGAGAAAGATGGAAGCTGCTCCCAGCCTCCGTCTAAATCAGTCTAGTCTTTTCACCGTGTTTTTTTTTTTTTTTTTTTTGAGACGGAGTCTAGCTCTGTCGCCCAGGCTGGAGTGCAGTGGCGCAATCTCGGCTCACTGCAAGCTCTGCCTCCCGGGTTCACGCCATTCTCCTGCCTCAGCCTCCCACTTTTCACCGTTTTCTGCCAGTTTTATATCCTAGCTGCACTGGCAGCTGATTAGATGGTGCCCACCCAGATCGAGGTTGGGTCTGCCTTTCCCAGCCCACTGACTCAAACGTTCATCTCTTTTGGCAGCACCCCACAGATACACCCAGGATCAATACTTTGCATCCTTCAAGCCAATCAAGTTGACACTCAGTATTAACCATCACAAGCCCACCCCTTGTCAACTTGAACCCACACACATCTCCTGAGATCATTTATAATCTTCAAATAAAGACAGTAATAAGATCCTAATTACACCTAACATAATACAACTACCCTTCGTAAAACTGGAAACTCACCACCAGTCCCCAACCCAAATGCTACGACATAAAGTTAACAATACTTAAATGCTGATATGAAGTTAATAAATCTTACATCCCGGCCGGGCGCGGTGGCTCAAGCCTGTAATCCCAGCACTTTGGGAGGCCGAGACGGGCGGATCACGAGGTCAGGAGATCGAGACCATCCTGACTAACGCGGTGAAACCCCGTCTCTACCAAAAAAACACAAAAAACTAGCCAGGCGAGGTGGCGGGCGCCTGTAGTCCCAGCTACTCGGGAGGCCGAGGCAGGAGAATGCCGTAAACCGGGGAGGCGGAGCTTGCAGTGAGCTGAGATCCGGCCACTGCACTCCAGCCTGGGCCACAGAGCGAGACTCCGTCTCAAAAAAAATAAATAAATAAATAAATAAATAAATAAAAAATAAATCTTACATCCCATGATAAAGGAAAAAGGAAATAACATGAAGATATTTTCTTAGTACAAGTGTATACATGCACAAACATGTTTTTAACAAAAGGAGGAAATACTCATAACAATTACAGTCCTCATATCTGCAACTGGTCACGTGGTCATAGCTGATGACCACCTTCTTCTGCTGCCCATTCTGTATTCCCTTTGCCTTCAGCAAGCACCTCAGCAGGTCTTGGCTTTTTTCCTGGTGGAGCGACCCAGACCTTCATTCCTAACAAGACTGGGCCATTCGTAGTCCTGCCTGGATTAGGCTGTTGTAGTTTCCCATTGACCTTAATCACAGGACACGGTAATACTAAGAGATGCCCCAAGTGATCTCCTGTATTCCACGCATGCTCTTCCTTACCTCCATGGTGGAGCAATAGACTGATTTCATCTTGATAATCCACGTCAATCACTCTAGCCAACACTGTAACTCCCTTCTTAGCCTGTTGACTTAAGGGTAGGAGGAGCCCAAAGTGTCCAGGTGGCAATCTTAACGTCCAGTGTAATTGAATCATTGTTGTGTCTCCTGGTGGCAGCGTTCCTCCCTCTGGAACTAAGACCTCTAAGCCAGGAGAAGGTGATGTCTCAGGAACAGGAAGCAAACATTTTGCTAGTGGGTCTCTAGGGGTGAGGGCGAGTGATGCCACTTCCACTTCCAGCCCTTCATTCCTGAACTCATGAATCTTGGCTATGGGAGAAACAATACCATATATTGGATGCTGATTGAGGGCATACATGGCCCTCTGGAGAACTTCGCCCCAGCCCTGCCAAGTACTGTCACCTAGTTGGCATTGTAGTTGTGACTTCAAAAGGCCATTCCACCGTTCTATCAATCCAGCTGCTTTAGGATGATGGGGAACATGGTAAGACCAGTGAATTCCATGAGCATGAGCCTACTGCCACACTTTTTCAGCCATAAATTGAGTACCTTGGTCAGAGGCAATGCTGTGTGGAATACCAGGATGGTGGATAAGGCATTCTGTGAGTCCACGGATGGTAGTCTTGTCAGAAGCATTCCGCACAAAATAGGCAAACCTGTATCCAGAGTAAGCATCTGTTCCAGTGAGGACAAACCTCTGCCCTTTCCATGATGGAAGAGGTCCAATATAATCAACCTGCCACCAGGTAGCTAACTGATCACCCCGAGGAATGGTGCCATATCGAAGGCTCAGTGTTGGTCTTTGCTGCTGGCAAATTGGGCACTCAGCAGTGGCCGTAGCCAGGTCAGCCTTGGTGAGTGGAAGTCCATGTTGCTGAGCCCATGCATAACCTCCACCCCTGCCACCATGGCCACTTTGTTCATGGGCCCATTGGGCGATGACAGAGGTGACTGAGGAAAGAGACTGAGTGGTGTCCACAGAATGAGCCATCCTCTCCACTTAATAAATAAATCCCGCTCTGCTGAGGTCACCTTTTGGTGAGCATTCACATGGGATGCGAACATCTTCACAGTTCCTGACCACTCAGAGAGGCCCATCTTCATCCCTCTTTCCCAAATGGCTTTGTCACCAATTTCCCAATCATGCTTCTTCCAAGTCCCCGACCATCCTGCGGAACCATTGGCTACAACCCATGAATCAGTATAAAATTGCACATCTCGCCATTTCTCCTTCCATGCAAAGTGTACAACCAGGTGCACTGCTCAAAGTCCTGCCTACTGGGAAGATTTCCTCTCACTGCTGTCCCTCAAGCATGTCCTAGAAAGGGGCTGTAGGGCTGCAGCTGTCCACTGTCGGGTGGTGCCTGCATATTGTGCAGAACCATCTGTGAACCAGGCCCTAGTCTTCTCTTCGTCTGTCAACTGATGATAGGGAACTCCCCATGAGGCCATGGGTGCAGGCTGGGGGAGAGAAGGCAGGGCGGCAGGAGTGGAGACCAGGGGCAGTTGAGCCACTTCCTTATGTAACTTACTTGTGCTTTCAGGACTTGCTTGAGCCCAGTCACATATACCACTTCCATTTGATGATGGAATGCTGCTGTGCACGACCCACGTTTTGGCTCGATGGGTCAGAAAGCATCCAGTTCGTGATAGGCAGTTCAGGTCACATGGTGACTTGATGATCCATAGTCAAACGTTCAGTTTCCACCAAAGCCTAGTAACAGGCCAAGAGCTGTCTCTCAAAAGGAAAGTAGTTATTTGCAGAAGATGGCAGGCCTTGCTCCAAAATCCTAGAGGCTTCGTCTGTGATTCACCTATGGGGGCCTCTCAGAGGCTCCAAACAGCATCCCTGTCTGCCACTGACACCTCAAGCACCACTGGAGCTGCTGGGTCATATGGCCCAAGTGGCAGAGCAGCTTGCATAGCAGCCTGTTGCAGAGCCTTCTCCTGTTCTGGACCCACTCAAAACCGGCAGCCTTTTGGTTCACTTGATAAATGAGCCAGAGTAACACACCCAGATGAGGAATGTGTTGACTCCAAAATCCGAATTGGCCCACTAGGCATTGTGCCTCTTTCTTGATTGTAGGAGGGGCCAAATGCAGCAACTTATCCTTCACCTTAGAAGGAATACCTTAACAGCACTAGACCCCTATAAATTTTACCGAGGTAGAAGTTTCCTGAATTTTAGTCGAATTTATTTCCCATTCCCTGGTATGTAAATGTCTCACCAATAAGTCCAGCGTGTTTGCTACTTCTTGCTCACTGGATCCAATCAGCAAAATGTCATCAATGCAATGGACCAGTGTGATATCTTGCAGAAGCGAAAGCAATCACATTCTCTCTGAATCAGATTATGACACAAAGCTGGAGAGTTTATGTACCCCTGAGGTAGGACAGTAAAGATATATTGTTGGCCTTTCAGCTGAAGGCAAATTACTTCTGGTGGGCCTTATGGACAGGAATGGAAAAAAAGGCATTTACCAAGTCAACGGCTGCCTACCAGGTACCAGGAGATGTGGTAGTTTACTCAAGCAATGAAACCACATCTGGTACAGCAGCTGCCGTTGGAGTCACCACTTGGTTAAGCTTACAATAATCCACTGTTATTCTCTAAGATGCATCTGTCTTCTGCACAGGCCACATGGGAGAACTGAACCAGGATGTGGTGGGAATCACCACCCCTGCGTGTTTCAAGTCCTTGATGGTGGCACTAATCTCTGCAGTCCCTCCAGGGATGTGATATTGTTTTTGATTTACTATTTTTCCAAGTAGAGGCAACACTAATGGCTTCCGTTTGGCCTTTCCCACTATAATAGCCCTCCCCTAACTGTCAGGGAGCCAAAGTGGGGGTTCTGCCAGCTGCTAAGTATGTCTAAGCCAATTATGCATTCTGACACTGGGGAAGTGACCACAGGATGAGTCCAGGGACCCACGGGACCTACTGTAAGCCAGACCTGAGCTAAAATTCCATTCATTACCTGACCTCCATGAGCACCTACTTTAACTGGAGGACCACAATGATGTTTTGGGTCCCTGGAGTCAACACCAGC